AATTCTAAAGCCCTCATTTTCTCTATCACAATAACTTACTTCACCAGTGTGATAGATGCAGTTAAACAATGACTTTTTATAATCTAAACATTTTCTTTTCAAAATAATTTCAAGATGAATTAGAAGACAATTACTTCAATTGTTCATTTGATGTTTGATATAGTAATATTTCATTAAATAGTCCAACTATTACAAAACACAACATATTACATTATTTTGTGTCTGTTCACATGTCTTAGGGCAAAGTGCAAAATTATTTTAAAAAATGTCTTGAATAAAGCATTTATTTATGTGGCACTAACCACTAATTTGAAATTACCATGCTCAAAAATAAAAGAAGTTATGACAATAATGCCTCATCAAATAAAAATATAGAGAAATAAATTATTTTAAAAATAAAGTGATTATAGAGTTGGAAAGTACAAAAGTCAAAAGAGGGATGTGCGCTTTTGTTAGCATGCAAACAAATAGACAGGCATAAAGCTCACTTCCCTCAAGAAAATGTCCCATGCACCCTGAACAGAACAGAGCTTTAAAGTCTGGGCTAGAGTTTTTGTGTTAATTTCAGACCTATACCTGAACGGCAAAATGAACCTGCAAGTTCTCTCTGCATGTATAAAATAGTCTCTTCAATTGGCAATAAAAAAATCTCTTAATTTGTGTGCACCCTGGGGATAGCTGGTCTAGCCAGAAATTAGATTCCAAGTTATCTTAAATTTTACAGAGCTCCTGTTCTGATTGATTTATATAGATTAATAAGTACTTACATAATTCTAATGTAAGGAAAATAAAGAATCCAGAGGGAAGAAAGAAGCTGAATTTCTAATACTTTGAAGATGCTTGTCCTTTAAGAAAATCTATTCTCAAGAAATTGCTGACTTTGAAAATATAAGACTTTGGCTTAGAATCAGCTTTATGAAAAGCACAATGAGATATCATTTTATTTCACATGAAACACGATCATTATGGGGGGAAAAAGCAGACAAGTGTTGACAAGAATGTGGAGAAATCGGAATCCTCAAACATTGCTGTTCAGCTGATTGGGAAAACACTTCATCAGTCCCTCAAAATGTTAACCATAGAGCTATTATATGACCTGCAATCCCACTCCTTGGTATATAAAGAAGAGATGACCCCCAAAATTAGGGGCTTTTTACCATGGTTTTACCTTTCACTTTGTGAAAGCTTCCTTATACTAGAAGAGGCTCCTTTCTACACCCTGCCGCAACTCCCTTAGTGCTACTATGCATCCGTATTTAACACTGGCTTGTGAAATTGTAACTTCCAGAAACAAATTTTTTAAAGTGTATTAAACAATGATTTCAGGTTGGGGACAAAACAAGAACCATAAACTTCCTAATGATTATTGACTATTAGCAAACATTTCCAGAATAGTAATGCTACATGTAAGAAATTAAAATTCCATGCCCTTGAAAAACAATATAGCAAATTTCTAAAACAGAATTGGAATAAAAAATTTACAACTTTCTAAATTACCCAACATAAAAGTTTTTACAGTTTGACGTTATACTACCCTCTATGACCAGCACAACAAAATGAGAAGAGACACCTTGAGAAAGCTAAACTATTGAATTACTTAAAGAAAGTTCTCTCCTTGATGCACCCTAACATTTACTTATTGGTATTTTTATCTATAGTTATAAACTTCCCTCCTTAGGCCTATATTATATCTCTGGAAAGACTCTTTAATAGGACATTTTTGCAGAGAAATCATTGTCAAATCATCTAGAAAAATAAAAAGAGAACATGAAAGTGGATCCAGGAAAACTTTTACAGATGCTTTTCTCAAAAGAATGAAGTTTGAAAACCATGGTCACATATTTCATCATGCCATGAACTAAATATGGGTAACTCTGAGAGAAGATTTTTCATAATAAGAATAAATATTTAATGCAATCATTCAAACTATTTTTTAAAATGGTTATTATTCTACTGACTTGTTTCTCTTTAACCCTAGCAAGAGATTTTTTTAAAAAAATCATAAATTTGTTATTTAAGAGCAAAATCTGTAAGGGTAAAATTCTTTATGTTGTTAAGAATTGATCATCCCATAAATAACAACTTATGATTTAAAAAAAAAGTCCAGTTACAAACTCCCCACTGTCCTATCTCCCCCCACCTTATCTTTTATGAACTTTTGTACAAAACTATACTTGCTTCATCAATGCATCAGGTAACATGATTTCTAAAAGCAAACAACAATTAAAAGCCATGAGGAGCCAGTTTTTAAAAAGCATGACTCATTAGTTACTATCTTGATATAAAAATGTATCTTTTACACTTGTTTAAAAAGTAGGTACAGCGGGGCCTTGACTGACAAGTGTCCCGACTAACGAGTTTTTCGAGATACGAGCCGTCTCTCAGCTGATTTTTTGCTTTGAGTTGTGAGCTAAAATTCGGGTTACGAGCCAGCTTCAGATACCCCACCACTAGTTGGCGCAGCGAACATCACAGTGAATGCCACAACATCAGCCCAGCATCATGTGTCTCACTCGTTCACAACTGATTTGACATAGGAGTAATTTGAGTTACGAGCTCCGTCACGGAACGAATTAAACTTGTAAGTCAAGGCCCCACTGTATATGCATCTTTCATAGTTTGAAAGAATAAGAAAACTAGGCAGTGTTCTATTTTCCATAGTATTGCTGATGTTTATTGCAAAATAGTCTTACCTTATAAAGCCTGGCACTTCTTTGTGTGAAAATAAAAGTTATTTAGAAATGTACCAAGTTCATTTTTAGTTGCTGTATTCACAAATCAATCACCCTATCCCCTGTCCCCTCCTCCCCCCAAAAATACTAAAGATAATCATAACCAGTAAAGGACTGAATTTGGAGGATTCAATTCAGTTTGTTTAACAGCAAAGTGCTAATGTTATCAAAAGAGTTATCTAAATTCAATATTCTGCCACCAAATAGAGAGTAAAAAAGACAAAATCAATTTAAACCAGCTGGAAGGACTTTCAATGAAGTAAATGATCATAATTTTACCTATGAGAGTGTGCACTTGTATAAAATAATCTCCTATTATAAGCTATTACCTATGTCAAATGCAAGGTGATTCTTTATGAGAGTCACTTTCTTTATATGTAAGTACACAAGCTTCCAAGATATTGTTAGATTTGTTTCAGGCTAAGTGTGGTTTTAAAATAAAACACTGCCAGGATATAAAATATGTGATCAATAATACTTTTTGTTGGAGTTAATAAAAGGAAGAATTATGTTAGCTAAGCTTAGGTCAGATCATATACACTAGTATTATAGTCACATTTATTCAGCAAAACTAAGTAGAACTCATTAATCTTATATTGATCAAAAAGGAGATTGCTTTAGAAAAGTACCATTTTCTTCCCTTTCCACTCATACCAACACACACACACACACACACACCTCTGTAAATTATTATTTCTCCACCAAAAATGAAAGAGCTCAGAGAAATAGAGAAAGAACCACCAATTAAGTAATTTGTTTAATACTCAGTTTTTTTAAAAAAGGTAAGACAAGAGCTGGCTTCAGTGTTCTTGATGAGAAAGGCAATTCATTGAACAACCTCAATAGGTTAAAAGCTTTTTAATAAAATTATGACATATGACAAACTATTTAAAAATAAATGGTTGATATATGCATTCTAATCAAGAGAAGAAAATAACTAAAAATGATGGTATTTTACAGGTATTTCCTCCCTATGTTTAGCCTGAAAACCACAAAGTTCACTTAAACTCTCATTGCCATAATAAGCACAAATAACCTACCATTATGGGAAGTGTTGTTAAAGGGACAATGAGTCTGGCTAGCCCTGCAAGAATAGCTGAAGTGTTAACACCAAGTGCACATAACACCAGCATTATTATTCACTTAAACTTTTACTAGGTAAGGAATTAAAAATTATCTATTTTAAAGTGGACTCATCCAAAGTAATAATATTCATGACATCAAAGATATAACATTCTAATTATATTTTTTTCTAACACAGTATGTTTTACATTAAATAAAGCCCCCCAAATGATCTCATGTACCATTATTTGTAAAGACAAACACATTTAATGAAAACAAACTAGGTAATTTTCAATCTGATTTCCTTTTCACAGAAAAGAACTGCTGAACATACACTAGCATCAAATTTTAAAACACACTTAATGTTCAATTTAATGTCATGCTTGCTACTTGTGCACTGCAGTACATCATTTAAACTTGAAAACAGTTGAACAAAGGCAGCTGAGTTGATATATTGAACCCCAAATACTCACTGTCTCAGTCCCATATTGGGAATTCAATGAGCTATGGAGAAATTGTAATTTACACCAAATGAAAGTGTATAGTGTACACTCAAAGGACAGGCTGACTGAAGGTTCCACTTGGACCCTATCTTCCTGAGCACAGCCTCTGTGGTTTCTACAGCAGATAAGAGTTCAGAGTGACCTTTCACTCCCCTCGGGTGTGATTTCTACACACGAGGGAGAAGAAAATGGTATAAAATGTGGTTTAATATGACAACTCTGCTACTTGTGTTCTATAGAAAAATCACTTTTTTGAGCTCTTGGTTTAAATTACATCCATTCTCTTCACTAAGTCAGTTCATTCCATTCCTCCGCAGTAAAGTTTCAAATCATCTACCTCTGCATCTACCGAGTGCTGAGAAAGGTCAAGTCCCTTAGGCTGTATTGCTCCTGACAGCAGACAGAATCATCATCAAAAATCAGAGAGCTAAGAGGACATATAAGTTCATAATGGTTTAAATTATATTAAATATCACCATTCCGATGAATGGAAACTAATCAAACTTTACCTATTAATATAAACTCTGTAATGTTCCTAGATATTCATTTTATTATTTTTCCCCATGAGAACTGGGAATGCGCTCCTTCTAGCATATAACTTCTTTGTGAAATATAGTGATTAATAATACTACGTGAAACATTCACTTAATAAAGTTCACAACACTATATAACAAGTGATAGAAAAGAAATCATGGATTCTAACCACTTTGTCCTCCTTTGTGAAAGCATCCAAGGAAGCAGAATAAAGAAAGAAGAAAAAGAAGAAGAGAAAAACAAAAATAAGGCATATATTAATAAACAGATTTTTAAGAAAAACAATTATATGTCACTCTTAAGTGTTAAAACACAGGTACATATATTGAAAATTAAATGTTTACTCTTCCCTCCAAATAGTCATTGTTCAATCTTTCATTGAAAATGCACGTATATAGATCCTGCTATATGCTAGATACAAAAGTTGGGCACTGTAATTTCTAAAATTTTTAGAAATTGGATTATGAAATACACATTTAAAACATTCTTAAGAAAGAAAGCTTAATTCACTAACATAGTCTACCTATTATTAAAGGATACATTAAAATGCATTTGTATGAATAATTTTATAAAATTAGTATTAAAATATTTATAGTTACAAATTGAAAAAAATCTAAGAATGGGAAATGTTTATAATAAGTAAAAGTTAAAAAATACTTTATTTTAACCATAAATTATTCCACAAGCAATATTTATTTGTAATACACATTTCAACATTTAACTATCATACAAAAAAAACAACTTTTTACATTTTTTGTCTTATGTTCAAGATTAAATAGTTTAAGTTGTGTGTGTTATTTTTAAATTTTATTCTTTTTAATATTTTTTCCAAAATTGGATTGGGTTTAGTAAAAATGGATGAACTACATTAGGACAGACTGTCTACTCTAAAGCATTCTCTCCTAGCTCAATTTTCTTTAAACACCTTTCCTTTTTGAAACATGAGCTTAACCCTAATAATTTTAATATATAAATGTTTAACTATATTTATATTAGTTTGCCTCAAACTTATAATAGGAAGTTAAACACAGTCAGTCAGCATTAACACTCAGCCGATTTGCACCCTAAAATATCATTCTCAGGTCTGGTTTGTGAGAATTCATTCCAAAAACAGTATGTTTAAGAATACTAAATAAGGGAAAATTAACAAATAGGTCTTGTACACTTTTTATGTGCCAGACAGTACCTTAACTCAAGGTTGTTCTAGAAAGCCTTTAAGGTGGCATAGAACTTTTAGAAGTAAAAACGAAAACTTATGTGGCTATAAGAATAAAACATAAAAATATACATTTCAGAAAGAACCTAATTTTAACAATTTTAATTGAATTGTCTTCCCAAGGCCACAGAGATAATAGTAGGCTCATGTTAAAGTATAATATCTATTTTACTGAATGCCTTAATTCTACTGGAAAAGATGTAAGAATACCCTACCTACTACTTAAGTACACTACCAAAAAATACAATGCTGATTGGGAGGTTCAGTGTAATTTTAACAGTGATTTTCCAAATTAGGAAGATATCCAAAGTGCCTAAAGCACTCCAGTTATTTTAATTATAACTTTGTATTACATTAAAGTTTATACATGATTAGATAATATGTGAAATTTTTTAAACAAACAATGGGAATTATTTAGATATATGATAATCTTCTTTAAATTTTATCTTTTTATTGAAAGTATTACAGATGCCCCCCTTTTCCCCCTATTGGTCCCTTGTACCCCACCCCCTCTTCCAGGCCTTCACCACACTATTGTCTGTGATAACCTTAACTTCTACAATACATTGAAGATCTGTATCAAAGAAAACTCATACAGACATCCCTATAAATAATTCCACTGTATCAACATTTGGAATATAATAAAGTACAACATTAAAATGTGTTCTAAACTAAATACTTATTAGAATTAATCTAGTACTTCACAAAGTTTAATATTAAGCCCCTTATATTATTATCTTATTGCCTCAAAATTTTGAATATATTTAAAGCACTGGCATAATGGAAGAGGAGCTGTTATTTAAGGCAACTAAGGAAACTACATCAAGTTGAGACTAGCTCATAGAGAACAAATAAGTTTTAAAAGGCACATTAAAATGCTTTAACATACTCTTTAAAAATTTGAATAAGTTCCATGAGATAAAATAAGCACTATATTTCTTTAACATGATATGAAATTATGTTACATTTAATGTCATACTTTGCATTTTACCTTCATTCAATCTGAAACCAATGTTGCAGAAACTAAAAGGGTTTTTTGTTTTATTTTGTTTTTTACAAGAACTGGCCATATCTTTCAAGTTTTACAACTCATGATACTATATCTGCGTTTACTGCATTCTTCAGAAAATAAATTTACTTCTACAGATAAATCAGTTGATTCTGAATGGGAATAATTTATTAAGATACAACATATAGCCCTGGCCAGTTTGGCCTGGTGGACTGAGCTTCGTCCTGCAGACTAAAGAGTCCCAGGTTCGATTCCAGTCAAGGGCATGTGCCCAGGTTGCAGGTTCAATCCCCAGTAGGGTGCAAGCAGGAGGCAGCTGATGGATGATTCTCTCTCATCATTGATGTTTTTCTCTCTCTCCCTCTCCCTTCCTCTCTGAAATAAATAAAAATATATATTTTTTAAAAGATACAACATATAGAAACTATCTTTTTATGAATTATTTTCATCACTACTGCACTACTGTGAATCTTATGAAAAACAAAAGAACGAAATGGGGAGGGGCATATTGACATGTACATTTATGCACGCTTTTGCTCTCTAACATGCAAGGAATATTTCTGCTTGGGAAGCTACAGATTGGTATCCACATTCAACACTTCTCTCACGCCCCCCGAATACTCACGTTGTTCGATCGCAGAGACACGCGGCCTCCACAGCGGGCGCAGAATTTGGTGCGGCAGTAGGAGCAGAGGTGGCCACACCCATCAGCAAACTTTGTTTTGTGACAGATGCCACAAGTCGGAGCATCGTCTCTGTGCTCGCCCTGGTAACGCCGGGCTTCTTCCCCTATTTTTCTCACTTGTTCCTTATAGCTTTCAAACTGTTGATGCAACCTCCTGGCAAAAGAGAGAATGGTAGCAAACTAAATAAATGATGGAAGACAAAAAGAATTTTTTTCCAAACAGAATTGATTCACAGCTACTTGAACTAAAGCAAAACATACCAAGCAACTTTTCCACTAATCTTACCTACAAAGGTAAGAAATGTATTACCCTGTATTCTATTAGTCCCAATTGTACCTGCACTAAACCACACAGATGTAAGCAGACTCTATAGAATCAATCTTTGTTTCCAACAATGGAATTCATGTACCAGTTCCATGCCTCTGCCACTTTTAGACAGACAGCTTTCAAAGTATTTCAGCTAGGTCTCAACACCTTCCACTCCTGTGTGTATATAATTGAAGCAAAAGTTATGCAAAATACTCAGCCTAATAACTATATGTGATGTTCTCTGATATTTTCTATCTTACTCTAAATTTAATACTGACTACTATCTTTCAAAAGTGTCACAGTAAAATTGATTCCATAATCCATTATTTATGTATGATCCATACTTGGGGGGGGGACCTTTTAAACTATGTTGCTAGGCAATCTGTGTTCTACAACGTATCTTCCTTCACCCCTACTTCCTAGAAACCGTGTATTTTGCTTCAAGTATTTGATAAAATACACAGAATGATAGCTTATACATTATATTTTAACTTGGTGGTTCTTCCAAGTCACATTAAATGTTGTAAACCACACTTTATAAATATTCAGATTTTTACATGCCCCACATTTACAGTTAATATGATTCAAGTCCCCGCCCCTCCACATCGGTTCAAATGCCTCAATCTTAAATCGTTACAAGGAGAAACCATTAGCTGTTCTGTATAGAACATTAGGATATCCAGGGACTCCCCAGTGAAAGGATGCCTTAGTTTTGTAAATGAGAACTGAGAGAGTCATCCTAAGCCTAGCCAGCAGTCATTGGCTATTACACCAAAAGAGAAGCTCCTGGGAAGTGACTAATCAAATGTATCTGAGAATCAGAGCTCGCTTGCTGGGCGTGAGTATTCCTTAGGACACGGGGCACACACATACATGCTCTTGTTCACTCAGGCAGTTAGCTTGACCCACCACATCTAACATAGCCATGGGGAACTGGTACTCCCTGGAAACAGAACCAAGTAAGTTAAGTCCAAGCACTGCACTTGAAGTACTGGGATTTCATTATGTTTTCCTTTTGACATCAATAGCTTTTGAGCGGAAATCTACTGATTACTTTTAAAGTTCAGAAATACTTTTCCTGCTTTGCCCATTAACCTTTTTTCCCTAGTTAATTCCCATAATTAAAGCACATAAAGTACTTTAGAATCTGAAACCTTTTCAACTTAAAGACTAGTTAATTTCAGTTTATAGAAGGATTTGGTGATATGTTATTTGATAAATGCAAGAATACTTGATCAATTTATTGAAGTTATTGGATACATTACATTTAAAAAAAAGCAAGCAGAGTAAAAAAGAACTGTAGGTATCTATTATTTAAAAAGTAACCATACAAAATAGCACTGAAAATCTTAAAACTTGTATTAAAGAAAATAATTATTAAGGAGTAGGAGTAAAATAATACCTCAAATCAAAGAAACAGAAATAGACTTTAAGCGTAGAGGGAGTCCATGAATTAGTATTTATTGTGAGAACCACCAAATCAAATCCACTTAAGAAAATACAAAAGAGAAGAAAGCTAAACTAAAGGAAAAGCTTCCCTATAAACTTATTTTGTATTACAGAACACAGTTTAGTATGGGTATAGGCAAAATATATGGTAAGAGGCCAAATTGTAAATATTTTAGAACTTGCAGGCCACATAATTTCTGTTGCAATTTCTCAACTCTACTATTATAGCATAGAAATATGCATAATGATAAATGTGACTAAATTCCAATAAAACTTTATTTCCAAAACAGATGATAGGCCATTTGACAACTCCTGATAGTATGCTTTATACTAAGATATAATGGTTTGAAATTAAAAGTCTCTCTTGTTTTTTTAATTCAAACAAGACTTTTATCCATTCCATAAGGCCCAATTAAAAGGCCATCTATTTCAGGAAACATTTATACAATATATGTGTGCAGGACACTGACCACTGAGATGAAACCTAACTGTACTGCCATCTCATAGCATTTCACTTGGTTATTCATAAGCTACTTCATCTTTGTTTTTGTTTACCATATATTATTACTATTCCTATAAATGACATCTCTCTTCTACCAAACAGTAAATTGAATTAGAAATGAATAGTTTGGCAAGATAGTGAAGACATATACCTCCTTAACAGTAGCCAATGCATATTTGCTTAATGGAAAGATTATATATATTTGTCTTAGTCCATTTTAAGAAAAAACAAAAAATAAATTTATAAACAAGTTCATGGTGAGGACTAAATATCCTGAAAAATTCTATTGCCACACATGCTGGAAAATATTTAAAAGAATACTTTTTAAATTCGTGTTTGAGTTGGAGAGAAAGTATGGCGATCCTCAAAGGAGAAAAATGAAATAGGAGCAGTAATTCAGAGAGGTAACACAGCTCTGACACAAACATGCCCTAGCGACATGTACGGAGTCTCTGTGACCAAGAACGTGTTTTAACTTTTGTACAAGTGGCTGAAAACAAAAATTTAGTTACGTAGCCTCCAAAAGGATCTGAAATAGAGCATATAATATCCAAACTAGAAGAGGGAAAAACAAGGAATGAAAAAAAAAGCATTCCAAAAGAAGACAAAAAATTGAAACAAACAAACATATACAAAGCAGGACAATTAGAAGTAATGGTATGCGATGGCAGACACAATCCAGCACTCAGGAATCACAGTGACTACAGCATTATCGAAACACAGAGATCATCACATTACATTTTTTTAAATTTATTTTTATTGTTGAAAGTATTACAGATGTCACCCATTTTCTCTTGACCCCCTCAACCTGCATCCTTCCTCACTCCAGGCCTTCACTCCACTATTGTCTGTGTCCATGGGTTATTCATATGTGCATATATAAGTTCTTTGGTTGATCTGTTCCCTCCCCAGTCCCTCTGAGGATCCTTTCTGTTTCATGCTTCCATGCCTCTGGATCTATTTCATCCCTCTGAGCTGTCAGTCCGTTCTCTGTATCTATGAGTCTGTTTCTATTTTGTTTGTTAGTTTATTTTGTTCATTAGATTCCACATAAATGAGATCATATGATATTTGTCTTTTTTTGGCAAGTGCTCATCAGTAGATGAATGGATAAAAAAAAGCTGTGGTACATACACACAATGCAGTAATAAAGAAGGATCTCTTACCACTTGAGATAGCATGAATGGACCAGGAGATTATTATGCTAAGTAAAATAAGCCAGTTAGAGAAAGACAAATATTACATCACGTTAGATTTCTAAACATCAGTTACATACGGTATAGAGGAGCTATAACCAAACTATACAGGCACAGAATGTTTTAAATAAGTGATTGAAAAAATATATCCCAGGGAAAGATTAACAAAAACAATACCAAACATACAATATTTAAAGCAAAAGCTTTACTATAGATAAAGAGCTTAACCTACTATTTAAAAAGTATTAATTTCATGTTGTACATGACAATTCTAAACTTGAGTGCATATAATAACATATAAAGTAAAAAAATGATAAAACCACTAGGATAGAGAAATTCATCTTCATTGTAGGCTATTTTACTCACCTCTCTCTCTGTAATCAACAGACCAGACATATGAAAAATAAATAATGATAGAGGAGAGTTAAATAATACAATCAAAATTTAGATATGTATATATGTGCCCAGGAGACTAAACTTGTTAAACTTGATGAGTACTATATTTATTGTACTCACAGGGAGAATACATATTGTTTTCATGATGAGATGAAATTTTTCCAAGCCTAGGCTTCAAAAGTATTAGAAATGTTTTATTTCTTTTTTTTCTTCAATATATTTTATTGATTTTTACAGAGAGGAAGGGAGAGGGATAGAGTTAGAAACATTGATGAGAGGGAAACATCGATCAGCTGCCTCCTGCACACCCCCCACTGGGCATGTGCCCGCAACCAAGGTACATGCCCTTGACCGGAACTGAACCTGGGACCCTTCAGTCCGCAGGCCGATGCTCTATCCACTGAGCCAAACCAGTCAGGGCAGAAATGCTTTATTTCTTAAGCTGAATGATGGATGCATGAGGTATGCTTTATTCTCTTTGTCCTCTTTGTATGTATGAAACATTCATATTAAAAAGAAAAAATGCAGTTCTATTTCATCAAATATCACTAACAAATTAGTGCCATAAGAACTGAAAATAATGAATGGATGTGACAACATTATTATGTATAAAATAAAGTTGACCATTTATGCCATCTAATTAATTTTATGAGGATCTGCATATACTAGTATTTAAACAAATAATAACTGTATGAGAAAGATAATCTTATTCCCATTTTATTGATGAGGAAACTACTTTTTGTCGTGGACTTGCTTCTATTCTATTATTATTATGAATATATTACCTTAAATTCACATTCTTCAGATCTTACACCGAGTTCACATAAAGTATGACAACAAATATGGATGTGACATGAAAATAAAAGGTTTTTTGGACTCAGGAAAGTGTTATCTGTCAGATATTGCCAATTTTTGATCATGGCTAATGAACAAGAGCTGACCATGGAAAAGCAAAAGTTATGCAGATGAACTCATGCCATGAAACTTCTGTAGAGCAGACATTTGCCTCACTCACTAGAGGCATGCCTCTTTCACTGTGCTTCTCAGATATTGCATTGTTTACAAACTGACGGTCTGTGGTAATCTTGAATCCAGCTATCAGCACCATTTTTTTCAACAGCATTTGCTCACTCTGTGTCATGTTTTAGTAATTTTCACAATATTTCAGACTTTTTCACCATTTTTATATTTGTTATGGTGATCTGTGGTCAGTGACCTTTGATGTTATTGTTGCAATTACTTTAGGGTACCACCAACCACACCCATATCTGACAGTGAACTTGATTGTAAATGTTGTGTGT